AGTACATTGGACACTTGCTTTTCCATTCTTGTGATACTTCACTAAGAAGAATGTGTTTCAACTCCATCCAGATAAATACAAAAGATGCAGAGTTCCCACCTTTTTATGGTTGAATCTATTCAAGCAATTAATCAAACTGGTTGCCAACACTTTACCCAGTGGCCCCTTATTGCTCTCAAGTACAGAAAAGGCCCTAAATAAAGATGATCTTGATTCAGGCCTATGCCTATCTGCCTTTCCTATCCTCCAATCCTCTCAGAGGTATGCAGTCCTGACGAATTTCTTTCATTGTTTCCCTTATGAGATTTCTTAAAATTTTCTAAGAACCTCCACATGTGAACTTTGGAACCATAAAGAACGTTGGAATCTAGTCCAACTTCTCATCATACAGATGTGGAAAATAAGACACTGAAGAGGGAGCAACTTATAATCACTAGGTTTCTTAGCAAGAACTTAGTATTTGTAAGTAACAGAGAAGCCCAGCCCATAACATGGTTTGAATGCACAGATGAATTCACTATAAGAATCTCCAAATTAATTCTCCAGACTATGAAGATACAGAAAAGGGTGCAAGTCTCAGGAAAAATTGTGACCATCAACTCCTAAGACACAAGAAATTTTTCTATTGTCCATATAATTTCTAAACATCAGCTTTATTTCCTTCCTAAATCTACTTTGTGGAAGAAAGAAAAAAAATGCCCACTGGCCGTTTCCACGCTTCACTTGTCCTGGCTTGTCCACCACAAAGCAGGTGAAGATCACTTTTTCTGATGCCAAATTAAAAGAAAAAAATATTCCTAAGAAAGACCTCAGATGTTATTTGCCCAAGGTATGGAGTAATAAGACTGACGCAACACTGATTAGTGGTCAATCAGGGAAGACCAGAAAGATGCGATATACAGGGAGACGGAAATACTTGCATGATCCACATGGTTACACAATGGAACATTTCCAAGATAGAAGGAATACTGTTCTGGGGTCACAACAAAATAAGATTTTCACGACACTGAAGTAAGGAGAATCAGAGAAATTCCCACTGCCCCTGTGCTTCAGAGAATAGTGCAGAGGGGCCTTTTCTGTACTTGAGAGCTAAAAGCAGATCCACCACTGGCACCCCAACAGTTTGTACTTACCTCTTGTCTTTCAACCACCAGGCCTTGGGAAGACAATGGTTGTTTGGTGGTTTTCCAAGCTTTATGTCTGACCTTTTCAGGCCAATGTCAAGTGTAGAAAGTTCATCTCCCACCATTTCCGTACTTCCCACTTGTTGGGTTCCCCAGCGCTCATCCCCATCCCAATCCATGTTCAGAGAGAGCTCTGAGACTGTCTTCTTCTGAAGAAAGTGAGTGGCAACATTTAATATGAGGTCCCTTCTTAAATAACTTATCTTTTTAATAGTGTTAAAGCTCAAGTAGATAAAATCTCAGCCTTCAGAAGGACTCAGATCTCTCATAATCAACTCTTTACCCCCATGTGGCAGATGGAGACACTGAGGAAGACAGCAAGGGAATTCTTTTATGGAAGGACACACAGCTGCCTGATGGTAGTTAGCTGATGGTAGTTCTTTCTATTATATCCTACAGTTTCCAAAAAAAGGTCATACGGACTAATTTCAAGCAAGGGAATTGGAAACAAAAAGTGGAAATTTAAGAGAGATACAGGCTCCTTCTTGGCACTCCAGATCATGCCATTTGTAATACCTGTCAACTTGCATTGTCCAGAAGGGCTGTGGCATTCCTTCTTCTACTGCCAGAACACTTCATTATTTTCTGGGACAAAGGAAATTGGCAGGGTCTCCTGAAGCCCATGAGAATGGTCATGCAACCAACAAGTTCCTTCCTTGACCGTCTCTAATAGTGAAGTTCTCCTTGGAGGGCACCATATGTGGCAGACCCTTGAGAGGACCCAGCTGAGTGCCAGGAGTGAGCCCAGGCTGGGTGCAGGTAGAGCACTACCCTGACCATTCCTTTATTGAGCTGGATGTCCCAGGTTTCTCTACAGAAGATCTTTTTATTTTCCTTTTAGGTATTATAGCACATTCAAAACCTTGTAAATGGTACTCCTGGGCTGAAGGGCCTGCTTTTCGAAAATCCAAAAGCACATTCTTAAGCATTAGTGTGGTATAATTGATATACTGAAAATTGCACTAATTTTATATATACCATTTGATGACTTTGAAAAAATATATATACTCATAATACATATATATATATGTCTATATACTCATAATACCATCACCACAATCAGTGTATATTATGTACCTAACCAAAATTTTCCCTGTCTTCTTTTATGGGTTTTCTTTTTTGTTGTTTTGAGTGGTTGATTGGATCATTGGTTTTATGGTGGTAAGAATATTTGAACTGAGATCCATCCTCTTCATATATTTTTAAGTAACTAATATCATATTATTAGCTACAGGTTCTATATCGTATAGCAAATCTCTAGAATTATTCCTCTTGCATAACTGAACCTTTATGTACAGTGAACAATCCCCCATCCCACCTCTCCCTGTTCCCTGGCAACCACCATTCTACTCTCTGCTTCTGTGAGTTAGACTATTTTGTTACCTTATATATAATGAAATCAGCATTTATCTTCCTGTGACTCACTTATTTCACTTAGCATAGCGTTCCTGTAGGTTCGTCATTGTCACAAATGGCAGAATTTTCCTTTGAGAATTAAAATAACTGGAAAAAAATCACAGGTTGTCTACCTCAATGAGTTCTACACAAGGTATAGAAGGACATAGGGAACTATTGATACTAAACCCATTTACAACCAGGTATCATCTCTGTTATCAACCAATTCAAAATTTCCTAATTAAATCCCAATTCCCTTTCCATATCTACATGGAAGGCATTTGTTTTGAACTTTCCCAGAGCTCTCTTTATAGAGTAAAAAGTAGATGGAGTTCCATATACAACATGGGACTTCATGGCCACTTAGTTCTATAGCCTTTTCATTTAGCCCTTTCTTTAGGAAGGGAAATCTTTAAATGCTTGCTTAGAATTTTTTTATTTCTTTTTTAATTTTTGTATTTTTACTTCAATACTAAGTGGATGCAAATGGTTTTGGTACATTGATAGCTTTTATAATGCTTAAGGCAGGGGTATTAGTGTGCCCCTCACCTGAACAGTGTTCACTCTAACTGTTCCTGCTTAGAATTGAATCAGAGGGAGACATTAAATTTTTTTTCTTAGACCTGGCAACTTATTCTCTTAATAATCCCTTCCCAATCATTGTGTTTTCCCTACATTCTGGTAGATTCTAAGAGAGCAAATAATTCCTCAATATACTACTCTTATTCACACAAACCCAATATTATCTTTCTCAACCAGGAGGAAATTTCATAAAGCCAATTCAAGCTTTGTAACCAGTTCCTCAACATTTCACACCACCTGTAACACACTTGACACATGAACTATTTATTAATTTAGTGGAGACATAAATTTTCAGCTGGGGTTTTGATATCTAGACAAAATATGATGAGTGTAATAAAATATTTCTTACAATAATTATAATCTATATTTTAAAACAGCCCATATCCTGGAATAAACAATGTCTTTGAATATATTTGGTTGTCCTTTGCTTTACTGTAAGTGATTTTAAATTGAAATATCCTTTGGTCTTCTGCACACTAATCTTCTACCCTTTGTATATCTGCTTCCTCCAATTCAAAGTCCTGTTCCTAGAATTCCGTGTGTGATGCAGCCTTGTTGGCTGGATGAGTTTGGAGAAATCCTGTTCATAAAATAATCTCACCCACTCTTCCCCCATCCACCACTGTTTACATCATTAATATAACTAGAATCTTGTTTTTTGGTAATCCAGGAAACAAGAAATGCAGAAGTTTAAGTTTTAAGAATTAAAGAAAATTATTTTTAATGCAGAGTAGACAGGGCCTGCTCCCTTCCAGTGCCTTGGGTTTGGTTAAAGCAAGGCAGCTTGGGTTGTAGAAGATTATGGGCCAACAGATTTTGTGAGGTTTTGAATGCAATTCTCAGATCACTGTTGCAGAGCACAGGGTCCCACTAGAGGCAAAGAACCCTCCTGCCCACTCCTGCATGGAATTCAGCCATGCTCTACTTTCCTGAGGACAAATCCTTTAAGAACACAGACAGTCAACATCTATAATGCAGAAACTAGAAATACTATTATGGGCAGTGGGAATGGCATACCCTTGCCAAGTGCATATTCAGGCAGTGGAGCTAGAACAAGTGGGGAAGAAGAAAGAACAGGGCATATTTCCAGTGACGACAGCAATTGACACACATGTTATTTGTGGGCACTGTGTAGAGGTTCATGTGTGGCATCCCTGGGAACACCCAGGCATCTGAAGAACACCTTGAGCAGGGTCATCTTTGCTACATGGGCCATCAAACTACCATCATTTGATCATTAAAAATGTAATCTCAATATTAAATTCAAATTGATTTGAATTTAATAACTCTGAGGTGCATAAGTGTACAGTGTACTATGCTGATGTCAACAACTCAGTTTTGAATCAAAAAACAAGGTGGAATTGGTAGGTGAATTGATGGATGAATAAATTATTGGATAGGTTACATCTATGTAATAATAGAGTAAATATAGCAAAATATTAGAAATGACAGAATCTGAGTACGAGTATAAGGAGTTCACCATACATTATTTTTAACATTTCTATAGAACAGGAAAATTTCATTAAACATTTGCAAAATATATATATAATCTTGTTTTATAATCATAGACCAGTGAATGTGCCATATCTGGATTGCACAAGATTTAATTCAGATCCTCTGGTCGCCTGTCCTGGGAATCAAAGCCCTCACTCCAATCTCTTCTGAGGCTATGTTTTCCTTTTCTTCCTTCCTCTCCCCGGAGCTAAAAGTTCTGGGCCTTTTTTATGCCTCCTGCCGTAATATATTCATTTAAACACTGAGCAGCTATAAATAATGAGTGTCCAGAATGCTGGCACCACAGAGTAGGTGGTTCTCGGGATTTTCCAAGTTTGGAGATGGTTAGGACAACCTGGCTCTATTGAGAATTTTTCTCAGGGCCTCCTTCACTTCCTGGTTCCTCAGGCTGTAGATGAGGGGGTTCAGCATGGGGATCACTGTCGTGTAGAACACGGAGGCCACCCGGTCCTCCACCGAGGACCTGCCCGCGTTATCCCGCAGGTACATGAAGATGAGGGTGCCGAAGAAGAGAGACACAGCCGTGAGGTGGGAGGCGCAGGTGGAGAAGGTCTTGGCCCGGCCTCCAGCCGAGTGGATGCGCAGAATGGCCACGATGATGAACGCGTAGGACACCAGGATCACCACCATGCAGGCGGGGATGACAAAAACGGCGAACACAATAATCACCACTTCCTGGGTGTAGCTGTCCCCGCAGGTCAGCTTCAAAAGAGGAGGGAGGTCACAGAAAATAAAGTCGATCTCCCCGCTTCCGCAGAAGGACAGCGTGAAAGCGGAGACTGTCCGCACCAGGGCGCTGCAGAGACCCGCAGCGTAAGCCCCGGCCACCAGGCCCAGGCAGGCCTTGGGCGTGACGACGCTGACGTAAAGCAGGGGCTGGCACACCGCCACGTAGCGGTCGTAGGCCATGAGCGCCAGGATATAGCAGTCGATGGAACCAAAATAGGTGAACAGGAAGAACTGAGCCACACAGCGCGTGTAGGACAGAGCTGCCCGGTGCTCCCGCAGCACGGCCAGCATCTGAGGGACGGTGACAGACGAGTAGCAGATATCCATGAGAGACAGGTGGCTCAGGAGGAAGTACATGGGGCTGTGGAGCCGGCGATCCGTGCAGATCAGGGTGATCATCCCCAGGTTTCCCAGCAAGGTGATGAGATAGATGCATAAAAAGAGCAGGAAGAGAGGGAGGGCCCATTCGGGACAGTCAGAGAACGGGATGAGGAGGAACTCGGTCACCAAGGTGAGGTTGGTCTGTGCCATGAAGCCAGCGGTCCCTGGGAGAGCCAGGCGGGGAAGCAGGTTAGGAAACTGCGCCTAAGATTTAACTGTATTTCCAGTTTACATTTATCTAACATGTACTGTGGACAAAATACGCCAGGTGCTAAATGGAGCTTTAGAGACAGCTCATTTTAACTGCTGCCTTCAAAGGAGTCCTGTGACTTAGTCATCTTAGTATGTCAAGAAACAGATACAGTAAACATTTTTAGACCAGGAGTGCATATTCACCCATTTCTTTTGCTAAGTCACCAAGCTCTGAGCCAAATCTTCCCTAGGGCTCCATTAGACACGGATACCTGGGCTCTCACCTACTGAGGAACTGTCCATCTCAGGACCCTGTCTATTTTGCTCCTATTTTGACCACAGCTCATTCCTGATTTCAAACATTCATCATCTCTTGCCTGGATCAAAAAAAAAGCGGAGGAACCAAGGGTTCTCCCTGCCTTCGGATTTGCTTCTAGCCGGTCCTTGCTCTTCATTCACTGTGGCCAGAGTGATAATTCCAAGACTTTAACTTAACTCCATTCTCGTCTTCCTGTTACAAATCCTGCCATGGTGCCCCATCATGCCATAATATGGTGCCCCAGCACCAACAGGATATTATTTAGGCTCCTCCACATGCTGAGAATGCTCTCCTGAGCTCTCCCCTACTGCCACTTCTCAACCTCCCACACTCCTGGCCAGCCATGAGGCATTACCTGCACCTTCTCTAAAGCCCCCATCTTCTCTCACGTCTCTGCATCTCTTTCCCATCCCAAAGGGAGCATGGCTCACAGTAAGGGCTTAATATTATCTGGTGGAATGGATGAAGTCACAAGTTCAACACCAGGCACCTGGCAAAGGGAAAGTTACTCTGCACATGTTCAACTGATTATTTTTATTTTCGTGACAGTATTTAAAAACAGAAAATGCCTGAAGTCTAAGAACTCACTAAAATTGACCAATAATCACAGAGGTCATAAGCCATGCTTGGGCTTACACTTCTATACTCAACCTAGCAATGTGCTGACCGAACAGAGAGCTGCTGTCTTAATTAGAGCCTCTCAGTTTAATTGCAACGGACTTTGTAGTAACTAATATTGTCTTTAACAGAAAACCAACTCTATTCTAAGTAATGTATATAACTAACTCATTTAATCCCCACACCCTCCTTATGATTTAGGAACTTTTCTTATCCTCATGTTACAGATGAGCAAACTGAGACCAGGAGTTTAAGGACCACGCCCAAAGTTGCATGGAACTGTCACTATGCACAAACTAAACACAGATACTCTATTTACCTTAAAACAGGATTTCATGTGCATTCCATGGCTATTCCAGCAGCCCCTATCAAGACAAGAAATGTCCACCATTAGGTAAAGAAATGTAAATACCAGCACTGCAGTCTGTTAGTTTATGAAGACTGATGGGGAATTTTGAGCTCACAGATAGAAAGCCCTTTGGCACAGTTGATATGCAGCAGAATAGAGAAGACATTTCATCATCTTTACAGCATAAGACTCTGGAAGCTAGACAAGTGTTGGACTGAGCTATTAGAAAATGCAAAAGGAAATTGGATCTGATGATCTGAATTGGGCATGAGCCAAGAGTACCAGGTGGGTTTCCTCCCCTGAATTCCATGTTGCCTTTACCCAGCCTGTCCTCTTCTCTCTTTGTGCACTATTTTTCCTTAGGCTCTGAAATATCATTTCTCCCCTAGTGCTTGGAGGAGCATCCTAAGGGTGTGAGGAGAAAGGTGCTGTACTGGGTTTCAGGAGATCTGGGTGGTTCTTGCTACCCAGCCAGACCTGCTCAGCTGTGATGTTTGGAAAGACTCTTGCACCTGCCATGCCCTTCTCTGTCCCCCCACTTCCCCCACAAACACAAAGTGTGAATTGGTGTAAGGAAACAATGGCTTACATGCCTGAAAGTCAGTCCCTGAACACTAGGAGCCTCCAGATCCTTTTAGCTGTTTCTTTTCTGTCAAGGACTCCCTTTTATTCTTTTTGTTTCCATGATCTGCTAAATCTAATTAAGACACATTGTTCACCCTGGTTTTGTTCAATTCCAGGCTGGGACAGCAGATGTAGGGGAACAGCTTCGTCCCATGGGCTTCCAGCTCCAACACAAATCCCTTTGGAGAAGACACTAATAGTTGCTACAAAAGTTCTGAGGTCTCCAATCAATGGCTAAAGTGGTCTCTAAGGAAAGGCAATTATTGCTCATGTGGGTTCCTAACAAGGCACCTGGTCCCTCTCATGAAGGAGGAGAGACGGCTTCCCTCCCCACCCCAGCTCCCAGAGCCCTACCAGTGGGGTTTAAAGGCCTGAACCCCAGTTCTACATAGCTCCGCAAGGAGGTAAATGTCTCTGATTTTAATTTCTCCATTCAGAACAATGTCCGAAATTATGTCCATTATTCCTATCACCAGTTGGGCATATCCTGGAGGAACAGCACTGTGTGAGCACAAGGCTTTGCTCAACATAAGCCAAGAGGACTAACTGAGCCTCCTAACCAGAGACCTCAACAACACACATCCTGTCTCCTGTTTGCCCTCTCTAGGAGTCAAGTACTTCATTAAGCCTTTCATTAAGTCCTTTTCCCCCCCTTATATGCAAATGAAACCACAGGGAAAACAAAACCCTGGGATGCTGCCCAGAGGAGAAATTGGCAAGTTCTTCTTATCGGCATGGCCTTTGCCAACTGTTTGCATTCTTGACACAATAGTACTTTTTCAGCTCTCAATTCATGGACTTTGTGTTAAGTCACTGAATTTCAACATGTCTTTGGTTCAAAACAAGAAATAGGGAAGAGGATGAACAGAATAATTGCTTTCTTTGACAGTTTTGGGAATCCAGAGACAATGAGACCACATAATTCACTGATTCATCACTGTGCTAAGAGTTTTAAGTGAAAAGTGAGAGATACTAAACGAAACCAAAAGAAAAACCACAATGCCTGTCCATAAGAAATATGCAGCCTAACAAGGGTGACCATTATCCATCCTACAAGACAGCAATTACTGAACTCTTATTCAAGGTGTGAAGTAGATGCCATGGGGATCCAGTTTGGGGCAAAATCCTTACAGGTGAGGTGAATCACAGAAGGCTTTCCAGAGGAGGTGAGCAAGGACAGTTTGGACAGACGAGTGGCACCTTGGAGGCAGCACAGGACCATTGTAGGCAAGTCAAGTCCAGGGCTAGGGAGAGGTGATTGAGGCACCAGTTCAAGAAAATAAGTTAAGGTGGTACCAGAAAACTCAGTAAACAACAAAAATAATACTTTTATGTAATACTTTTAAAAGTCAAAATCAATGCAAAAAAATCAATGATGAACAAAACATCAACATTTTAAATAGAGACAGCACAGTGTCACGGCTTCTCCTTTGCCTCAGTCCCCGACATGGTTTGGTGCAGCACTGGTACCAGGAGATACGTTAAGAAGGGAGGCCAAGACCAAGGGCTTAGCAAGTGCCCATCCCTCAGCGGGTAACCCATTTCTCTCCTCTTGATTCTCTACATAGAAAAAAAACAATGCAGGAAGCCCAACTTAATACGATCAAATATTTGCAGAGTCTCTTTAACCATGTCAGAGTACTCACTTCTTCATCTATTCTTTTTCTATTTCAGATTAATATGAGGGTATATACAATGAGGTTATATTGGGGGGTCTTTCTGAGGTTATAGTGTTTTAAAAGTAACAAAAAATAAAATCTGTACTTTTTGTCCTTTGTAAATTTGTTCTTTATTCTGGATAAAATCCAGAACCAATCCTCAAAGTTTTTGAGGACAAAGGCTCACGGTTACATCCGCATGGCTCTCCATTTTCCTGCTCCTCCCAACACATTATTTTACACTTGTGCCCCCTTCCCATGAACGAGTACTCACCCTTCCTTGCCCCACATCATACCAACCAAGAAGCAGGCTCTTTTTTCTTTTTCTTTCATTCTCTAAAGCAAAATTAACACAGTGTTTGAGTAACACACTTCAGTAAAGATTTTATAGAAAAGGTGGGAGATTTACAGTACTACACAGAATTGGGGGGCGGGTTAGAATTGAATAATCAGTGCCATTCTAAAATTCCCCAGCCACTTAGTCCTCCCTCACTCCACCTCAAGACTGCCTGCCACCATCTGACTCCATCACTTTCTCCACTAAGATAATCTTTTGCTCCTATCTCTCTTCCGCCAGTTCCGAAGTCTTCCAAATCCCTTCAACCCAATCAATTGAGAGAAGACTCAAAATTCTTTTAATCTTACTGTTAGGCACAATAATCTAAAACTTTAATAACAAAATATCTTCCATTTAGGCCTTGAATTGTCTGTTCTTAAACATCATTATCAAGATGTCTTTTAAGTTATTTTCTTCAACGAGAGCAAAATTTCTCTGTAGTAGAGGAAAATCAGGTCAAACTTCAGCAAACTTTTTTTTTTTTTTTTTACTTTTAACATACCAGAAAAAGATTCAATGCTCAAGGAAGTCTGGGAAGCTGAGTTAAATGAAGTTAAATAGCTGTCTTAAGTAGAAGATTTCTCAGAGAGTTTACTATGAGAAAATATTTTATAGGTCTCCAAAGTGAAATGTATATTATGCAGCAATTCTCGTAAGTATTTGACCAGGGAGGCCTTAGTTAGCTACTGTGATATAATAAGCACTCAGAAAATTCAGCAGCAAACAATAATAAGCATTTGTTCTCACACTCAAAGGTTTCTGGGTGAGCCAGGGCTTTAGCTTACTAGACTAGGTTTGGCCACTTCAGCCAAGCTGCAGCTTGGTCCCTAATCTGTCTCACATGTCCCTCATCATCCTTGGATCAGCAAACCACCCAGGGTATTTCTTCTGAAAATACAGAAGTGCAAACAGGCAAAGCCATGACTGAAGCGCATTGCAAGTCTTTGCTTGCATCAGGTCCACTGACGTCTCATCAGCCACCTCAAGCCACAGGGTCCAGCTCAGCCTCCTGAGTGGAGGAGCTTATTACAAGTGAGAGAGGAGTGGGGTGAA